AAATGAATCAGGGTTGTCAGATAACCACAATTCCTGTTCAATATGGACAACCGCCAAGGATGTATGACGCAAAAGGTAAACACTGACGTCACATTTAAGCAGCTGCAGTAATTTACGGAAATCAATGTTTTGAACTCAGGGAGATAACAGAATAATTGCAGGAGGAAATAAAATATTGCAAAGCCATTCTATTTTCATTACCATATTTCCTACGTACACAAAATAGCAAGAAAACGAAGTAAGAAGTACGAATCAGATACTTGTGCGAATAATCCGTTTCGAATCCTTATCACAACGCTGTTTCGAATTCTTGGTGACAAACACGGGTCATTTTTTTCTACCATTTTCTTAAATTTAAAACAAATATCTATTCATCGTTTATTTTCATTTCTACTTTCATCGTAACACAAACTATAACATAAACGTTGGTGTATTTATGTTTTATATTTATGCTATAATTGAAAGTCTAAACTAACAACATATCTAACATTTTCGGGCAATTGGTCCATGGACATACATAACGGACTGTACTACACGGCATTGCGTACTTCTATAAAATCAGAGAGAGAGAGAGAGATTAAAATTGGTAAGATAAATAGACAAAATCATATAACGGGCATAACCAGTCCGGGCACCAATGCATAACACTATAGTGCTATGTCGTCGATTAGCTGTTCTATTCATTTGTTATTTTTTCAGAGTACGACTTGGACGTCTTACATCTCCAATTTTCTTAAGTACCTGTCGATTACTATAACCCGATTTTGTCTATTTTTACAGTCTTTAGTGGGTTTGGCACTATCTGTTATTCCAGCACTGCTTTCAGAGTACCAGATGGTGCCGTTTTTCTCCTTTCCAGATAATCTTTTTAAACTTTAAGAGAGGTAAAACTAGTGTTTGTTAATGGTCTCTCTTTATACCTATCTATGTGTTTCTTCTGCAGACCAGCCGAGCAAGTAAAAAGGATATAGACGAGAAAAACCCAACAGCGCGGCATAAAACATGGAAACCTTCAGCAGACGAAACACCTGCGCAAGGAACGTCTTTTAACATTTTTAACCTCTCAGCTGGCTTTCAAATTAGTCTGCAAATAATTCAAAGCAGTAATTTAACATCGAGGAAGATTGCACATACATCTGCGCAGAAATGACAGTTTCGACTCTTCCTCTCAACAACTTTCGTGAAATTAGTTGTGCCTTCAACCCATTTTCTATTCCCACAATCCATTAAAGAAAATGTGATACTGGCAGCCAATCACAACACGAAAATTGTGGCCAGTTAGCGAATTTCGGAAAACAAGAGCTAGAAATGAATCAGGGTTGTCAGATAACCACAATTCGTGTTCTATATGGACAACCGCCAAGGATGTATGACGCAAAAGGTAAACACTGACGTCACATATAAGCAGCTGCAGTAATTTACGGAAATCAATGATTTGAACTCTGCAGGGAGATAACAGAACAATTGCAGGAGGAAAAAAAAATATTGCAGCCATTTCTATTTTCATTACCATATTTCCTACGTATACAAAATAGCAAGAAAACGAAGTAAGAAATACGAATCAGATACTTGTGCGAATAATCCGTTTCGAATCCTTCTCACAACGCTGTTTCGAATTCTTGGTGACAAAAACTTGGATCACTTTTCTTTTTTTCTACTATGTTCTTGAATTTAAAGCAAATATTCATTTATTTTCATTTCTACTTTCCTCATAACACAAACAACAACATAGACATTGGTATATCTTTCTATATTTATGTTATAGTTGAAAGTTTAAACAAAATATTTAGCATTTTCGGGCAATTGGTCCATGGACATATATAATGGACTGAACTGCACGGCATTGCCTACCTCTAAAAAAGAGAGAGAGAAAGAGAGGGAGAGCGAGCGAGAGAGAGAGGGAGAGGAAGGGAAAAACAGAGAGAGAAGGGAGGGGGGGGGAGGGAGAGAGAGAGGGGAGATGTATGTAATGTATAACACTAGGGCTATTTCGCCGATAGGCTGTTTTATTCATTTTTTCAGAGTACGGCTTGGACGTCCTACATATTCCTCTTTATTAATGTAATATTATATGATACTATATCAAACATTTCCCTTAGGGTACTGACATCCAAGTACCTGTCACTTACTTTACATTAAAGTCTTTTTTTACGGTCGTTATAGGGCTTGGCACTATCTGTTATTCCAGCAAGGCTCTCAGAGTGCCAGATGGGGCCGTTTTCCTCCATCTTTCCAGTAGTCAGTGCTTAATCTTCGAAAATTTTAAGAGAGTTAATACTAGTGTTTGTTAATTGTCCTTCGTGGGAAGCAGAGAGAAAAAGTAAGAAAGAAAATAGTTTGGGTTATGGAAAAGGGAGTAGGGAAAAATACGAGGGTGCAAGGAGTGGAAGTGAAAGAGAAATGGGTAAATAGGTAGATAGACAGATCGATAGATAAATAGGTGGATAGTCAGGCAAACCGGACAGCGTATGATATATATACATGTGTGTGCGTGTGTGTG